GTTGACTGTCGATGCACCGTTTTCTTGGCAGAATTTACGGGAGTGGGGGGGGGGCATTTGTATACTTTTGCACATATCCTGGTAAGTTTTCTCCCGCTCTGAATAAAGTATATTTAATTTTCTTTTAGTCCCGCTCAAAGAAGTCCTCGACAACCGCATATGGACTACGAATGGAAAATTATCCTTATACGTATTTGACTTTGCTATGTATAAGGCACCTTTATAATTTCAATGCTATTTTCCAGCTCATTTTGAGCCTTATTCCGAATTAAGAAAATATAACACACGTGTGCAATTAGTGAAATTTTTACTCATTGCTGTAATGAAGCGCCGTACAGTAGCGTCTAATGCGACGGTTTTAAAATATGCATTGGTATTGATGCCAGGGTATGTCTTTATCTGAAATTGCATGCATTCATATTCAAAAATACATTAAACATAAAAAAACACGAATGCTTATGATGAGATAGATTTATGGCAGGAATAATAAAGTCCTGGAATTGATTCAACTCTTTCAGCACTCTGAATTTATTTTCTATTTAATCTTCACTCACCCATTGCAAGATACATATTTGAGGTGTTTGTAGCAACAACAAAAAAACACAAACAGTTGTGCCTTTGGCTCAGTGCTTGACCTTGAGATGGAGAAAACAGGACGGCAGTTGCGAGTCTTTTAATCCATATCAGTCAACATCATATCACCAGAAGACCATATTATCATCGTCTCACTCAAACCCAACAACCCTGCTCACATTGAACCCAGGGACTTGGCTGCGGTGCCTGAAGCAATAAAGTAGCAGGAATCTCCCTACGTCTGTTTCACCCATGAACCCTGCACCTGCACCCCTCATATTAAGTGCCTTTGAGCTGTCTGATATATTGCTGGTTATAGTGGTGAGATGACCATACATTGAGGGTTATTTTAGCAATGGCCACAATCGCCAATTGCAGGCGTTGAACATCACAACTGACAGCTTTTTTTTATCATCTTGACGCTTGGGCTGCCAACAATTAGTCGACCATGCTCACGGGGCTAAAACCGTGGATTTAGTTGGCTGGGGGTTAATTTTTTTTGTTGTAAAATGTATTTTTGCAGATTGGTATTCGGAATCTGAATTAGAATCTTTTATTGAGGCAGGCGGAATCCGAAGGCTATGAAGTTCTTTGTTGCAGATGTCCACTAGCAGGTAACGGTGATCACCCAGCCCAATTAACCACCCACACCGAGTGCAGTATTTGTGTATGATGGTAAAACTGTCATTCTCTATACGATGTCCACAAATCTGACCTTTTCACATATCTGCGTCGACTGTATCTCCGTCTTCAGCGAGCCACCAAGTTTCCGCTTCGCACTCAAGGCTCGCTTATTTTCCCGAGCTCACCCCACGACCTTCTTAATCTCCCCTCATAACCACCACCGTTGCTTTTCCCTCTTCATTTTCTCAATCGCCATCCATTCAACCCATGCATCATCATTTACTGCCATCAATTTCGCTTTCACCGACTTCACGCGTCACAGATTTGCCCATTGCTTCCTCTCATCTATTTCAGTCACCTCATCTCCACCACTAAATTCATACGTGCCGTTGTTAATTATGTGTAAAGCGCCTCGTATAAGGTGCTATAGAAATTATGTTAAGATAAGATATGCGATGTTGTACGGTATAATAATAATAAAATGTTTAGCTCTTTCGTCAATCCACTGCTGAGTGAAGGCTTCCCTTGGGCTTGCCAGTCCATGGGGCTTGTTTGACGATACTCTACCAAGCTTGTCAGTACAGCTTGTAGAGATTGATGGTGCGCTGTGAACCCAAAAACTTTGAAGTCCTTTTTTGTATTTTACCACATCAGGCCCACTGCGCTATATGCAGCTCTTTTTTTCTCAGAAGCGACTTGGCAATCACAAATTATAATTCCGACGAAGCGGCTTCTTAACGTTCGGACATTTATAGCGGCCAAAAACTGTTAAACGCGTGATTTTGATTCTAAATGTGGAGGGGGAAACTGGGAGGACCTGGGGGAAATCCACGCCACCGCGAGGAGAGAGAGACACGCAAACTCCAAATATACAGCAGCAGGCGTCAGGGTCGGGATTGAACCCACGGCCTCCTGTATACCAGGTAAGGTAGTTAACATCTCCTAGCCACCGCGGATCCAAGGGAGGGTAATCGGGGGTGATTGCCCTCCTCGAGACCACAAACATTGGTATTTAATTGATTCCTGGCTACAGCGAACACAAATATTGAGTATTAGCTGAAACGGTTCAGGTCACCCCCCCCCCCCCCCCCACTTCCCTCAGCCCCAGAACCTCTTAGCACACGACAGTATACACCTCCATCATTACAACAACGATTGCAATTCTGGACTCCATTATATAGATTTAAAAATAAGTTATTCCGATTGTAGTTTTTTTTTCACATGGCTCTAAATTAAAGCATCGTTCAAGCCACCGTCATATCATGATGGCTTTATATTGTCATAATATCCTCGGGAACATAATCATCATTCATTGCAGGTTGGCTGATATAAATCTCAGTCTCAAAATTTAACGCTGGGTTTAAACATTTTTAAGACCCTCTACTTTGAAAAAGGTAACTCAGACCCGACCTCAGATCAAACTTTGACGACGCAGTTTTCTGTCCAGTTGGCTGTCTGAGCCGATATTTTAGGATTATCTTTCTGAGCCAGAAGAAAGTTTTCAAAAAATCATATGGCAATGCAGTACATTTCGATTTAAAGCTTTCGTGACTGCAAGGATTCATCTTCTTTGGTTTTTTCGGTAAAGTCACGTAGAATGAGAATAAAATAATACATTGATAAAATAATAATTGTATTCTCATTCTACGTGACTTTACCGAAAGAACCAAAGAAAATGCAGTAAATGTTGGAGGAAACAAAAATCCACCCCAATGACGCATCCAACATTAAAGTTTCAAATATATATGGACAGACTTCTGTAATCTTTGGATAGATCTTTTTTGTCTTGAAAGTTGTACTCTCACCAACACCATTATCCTTGAAATATTAACACTTCTTCTCCTCTCTGTCTGCAGATACAGTTCCACATCCATTTATTGCCGAAAACCGATGAATAAAATAGTTTTAAGTCGCAGCCCTCCATACGTAATGAAACATTTTTTTTTGCCAGATCTTGTTAAGGCCATTAAAGATAGTCGATGCCTTTCCTCTAAGAACTGACCTTACACTGGCCCTTTAATGCTGATTTAATCTGATCCATTACAACAGGAATGCGTTCACATTCTCGGACTCCCTCTCCAATTAAAACGTATCTCATGATCACATAATCCCTTGTGCGCAATGTAAACCGTGTTGATCCCGAACGACCTTTGTTTTATCTTTATTAATTTCAATGACTTTGCCATCGTACAACAAACAAAAAAACGTATGTCGCATATTGGGGCCTACATTATACGTGTGTATATGTCATCATCATTGTCATCATCATTGTCATGAGCCGTGATCAATACACTCTTGGAAGAAGACAATCCACTACGCCGTTAACATATTTCACGGTCCTGAGATGTAGCAATTCATCCTAACCCTGCAGACAAGTTGATTTCATTGCTCAATCTTCACAGTTGATGTCCCCTCAGGTGAGGTCCCTCCTTTGGCCTCCGATCCGACATCGGTCTCCACCAATGGGCGTTAACCCTTTTTGGTGCCAGGTCTCTGCCCAAGCCCGCTTACATTTTCCGTTAACGCCTGTGCGTGTTCTCTAATCCGCGTGCTTCCGTCAGTCATTCTCTCTCTCTCTCTGTGCGTGTAATTCTAAGCATGTGTTCTTTCCATACTTCTTTGAGCAACTAGCACCTTTCAATTCCGTCCTCGTTCATTAATGATGGCCCATGTTCCGTGATTTTGGCGTGTCTCACGACCTGTACTAATGCCACTGGGTGGGGGTGTGGAGAAGCCAAAACAATGTGGAACTCCTGCAGTTCCATCTGTCTGGGGGTAGAATATTTAACGCCCCCTCGCACGGCGTGGGGTTTCTCTGGGCGCTCCGGCGTTTTTCCACATGTAAACACTCGTTCATCGGCTGACAACATCTGCGAATGTGGAGGACTGCAGAACTTGGGCAATTGTTTGTGTCGGCTCACTGCCTCGCTGCCTTCCCGCTTCTCTCCGGTCTCTTGTTGTGCCACCCGAGTCATTCTTTCTTTGAGAGTTAGCAAAAAGCTTACCAGTTTGAAAGCTCATTTCTGCTTTTTGGTGTTTGGTTTATTGTCCTTCCCAACCCCTGCATCTCCGATTATCACCGTTGGCTACGTATGCTTGCGAAATAAGTTTAACATGCAACGTGGATACCTACACGGTACAATTTGAAATGATTATATATCTCATAGCGGGTCGTATGCACTTATTAAACATATTTTGTTCTTCAAGCATAATTTTGGTCTCCGTTTGCCTTCAATAACTCGCCTGGGTACACATTCTGCTGTCTTTTCCAGTTACGTCCCGCCGACAAACATCTCCAGTTGTTTGGCGAGAACTCAATCTCTACGTGACTTTTGTTTTTGCTCATCTTCACCTTGAACATCACTTCAAGGTGAATAACTTGCCACGGTTCAGTGTCACCCCCAAGCATCCCAACGCCGTCCCTCTTGAGTAGGCCCTCGAGACTTACCGACGCTTTAACGGGCAGATCATCGGCACAATTGGACATGATCGTGAACGCATTCATCATGTAAACAAGATGTAGTGCTGTAGCGGTCTTCAAGGATGCTGTTTCCCCTTCTTTTCCATATGGCCGATGCCGATGTAGAGCAACGGACGTCGAGGTGCTTTGCGCCAGATGATTGCGTCAGGAGTAGCGGAGTGGCGCAGCATCTCGCCGTGATGATGCCTCCTCCTTCGTATTTGTGAACGGGGCACTGCGTCGCGATGTGTGTCCGCGGTTCTGCTGCATTCGCCTCAAATTACGAAAAGCTTTAATCATTTTATACTTGGGTATTTACGTAATCTGTGATTTTTGGGGCTAGATGGAGCTGCGTACCTGCCACCACCAAACACAGCCAATCAATCGATGAATGAAGTTGGCACGGGGCCAAGCTTTGGTGAGTAAAACAAAAAATAACACATATTCATCTCCGACTTGCTGATGCTGACAAAAGTATGGGAAAATGCCTCGAATTGAGAATTAAACGGATATTGAGTTGCAGCACTGAATGAAAGTGCGTGATATTTTTGAAATGCTCGACAATATTAAGCATGCGTGCACACCACCCAAACAATTTATCATTCCCTGAGCACAACCAATCCATAACGTGTGCCTTTTTTACCAATCACACCTTGCCATTCTTTATAACTAGATATTTAAATAAATACAAATCCTGCCCCCCCTAACCGTTCCCTCCCTCCCCAGATCCTTCCCCCACCCATAGATTATTTTCGTGAGCGCCTATGAAGGTGGCCAAGATGCATGATGGGATGTCGCGGCCCGGGCTACACCTAGCCGCCTTTGTCTCCACGGTGTCGATGTCTCCATGCTCTAAGGGAGGCCCACCACCGGTTCAGATTTACGCCACTGATAGCTGTCGCTAAGAATCAAACGTTTTTAGTTGGGTTCATAGCCAATTGAGAAACCCACTTAGACCACCACGCCGTCCGAGTACATGCCGTGCAATAACAACAACAACAACCACCGTCGTTCGTCATGAAGTGGTAGTGACATCGCCACGGTGCTTGTGTATGCACGTTGAACTTCTTTCGCACCGTATGTAGCCAGCCGTGCCAAATCGGAGGTGCGGTGGAAGGACAACAGGCGAGGTGCAGCTTGAGGCCATGCGCATTGCCGAACGCTCGCTAGCAGGAGGTCTCAGGAGAGACCCAGGTGTAATGGGTTGACTGACCGAGATGACTGGCAGATGCACCTCCTGTCCACACACGTATATATGTGCACACGTGCACATATACACGGGCAAACATTACATGCATAGCGTATTCCGTGGTACAGACTGTATGTCCCGCACCGAGTGGGAGCAGTTATCGTTCTCGTGAAATCATTATTTTTTAAAGCCCCTATACATTTTTATCTTGAGCTTATATGTCGCTCGAATGTGACCAAAGTTTGTCCTTCGTCAACGTGTTATTTGAAGCGGCGAGCGTTGTCAAGGATACGTCATCCCTTGCCACCGACTGCGGTTTTTTTTCTCAAAAATTTCCTTTCCTCCTCTCCGGTGAGGAAAACCCGTCAGTTTTCATCGTGCACGCTGTCGCTGTGACCAACTTCCACGGCCCTCCGTCACATTAGGAATTCAGCGAGAAAGAGCGAATTCACAGTCGGTAGAGACACTGACGGTGATGGATCGAGTTCACCGCTTCGGAGCGAGTTGATGAAAGTTGCTTTTCGTCGCCAAATGGAAGTCTTTCCGATGCTCTGCTTGAAATGCCCGTTGTGAATGATGGGGATTTTATTGTTGTTGTGCTTCGAGAACGCAATAACTGTTGCAATTGGTGTGACAAATTAAGAATAGGTTTTACCCTTTCTGGCACTAAAACAGGTGTTAAGATGTTCAAACACCAAATAGATTGATGCCGTTTGCAAGGAATAAAAATTATACATTAACCACACGTATTTGTGGTGAAAATGCAAACAAATATGCTCTGATAATTTTTGCATTGTCTTTGAAACTGATTGGCCTGGTCTCAGCAGTGCCAAACCAGAGAACCACACGAGGCGAACAGCACGAACCGCAAGTCCGTGTGATTAATGCAGACTTCATTCCTTGCAAAAGGTAACCTTTTGGTGTTTGAACATCTTAACACATCCTGTGTTATTGCCAGAAAGGGCAAACCCTATTCTTAATTGTTCATACTTTGATACTGGTAAAAAAGGGTCCCATTTTGCAGTTGCTGCTGACCAAATACATTTTCCCATATTAAGCCCCAATACTCGAAAGGCCAACACGCACCGATGCAAGACGACCATTTGCTCGTTTTAAATTGACCCGTTACTATACACATTCAATATTGATTGTTTCAACTTTTAATCAAGGTTATACCGTATGCAGGTCACATGTACACGCGCGTGTGACGCGTTGTGCATCAATATTAATTCCACTTCCGCAGGACATCGCTTGGAGCAAGGATTTGTGTTCCAACATGCGACTCTTTAGACATTGGCCACGATCGCCTCTGAGGCACCGCACACAATTTTCGAAAGTGAAAACTCGTTTCTTTAGAACCGCTTTTTGTGTTTAGTTAGTTGTCCCCCCCCCCTGCCTCCGCACCTCCGATTAGCACGGTTGGCTACGTACGGTGCGAAAGAAGTTTCAACGTACACACGTGCATTGTTCTGGGTGGAGGAGGTGATCGAGCATAAAACGTAATGTGCATGAGCGGCACTTGGCGGTGTTGGCTCTTACATAACAACGTCCTCCGAGTAAAACTAAACAGAGCAGCCAGGAGCAGGGGGCTCATTCCACTTTGTCCCTCTGCACGTTATTTACTCACTGTAACGTCTTCTTGGTTCTTTCGGTAAAGTCACGTAGAATGAGAATAAGACAATAAAACAAAATAAGACAATACAATTCTCACGACGTTTCGGCCACAACACAAGTAGCCTTCTTCCCATTCTACGTGACTTTACCGAAAGAACCAAGAAGATGAATCCTCGCAGTCACGAAAGCTTTAAATCGAAATTCACTGTAATGTGTTTAGCGATTAGCACGGTTGGCTACTTACGGTGCAAAAGATGATCAACAGAGTTACGTACATACTAGGAGGCCTGTGCTGTTTTGTTTAGTTTTTGGACATTATGCACATTGGCATGAACGAATGGCCAAAATCACTTAAGATGTCTAGACAGTGCGGCAGCAAACACTATTTTTGCGATGTTGCAATGGCCCGCAGGAGCTCGCCGTTATTCCACAATAGAGAGTTTCGCTGCATTGTTTCCAGCACATCGCCCACGGAAATATCAGTATTCGTTAGCCGTTGCTCGAGCAACTGCTGTGTGAAGTGGTCATCGTTAATTCGCCAAGTAGAGGGCACCAGAAATAACAATTCATAATATAAACCCTTTCTTGGGCCACCCTCCCCTCGCCTGTGCAAACTCAGTGATCACATTTAATCCCAGAAGACATAAAAAAATAATTAAACCCATAAAAAAGCGCTAACTTTATTTCACTCGCTTCCATCTCTGGTGTACTGTGCAGTTGAAATACATGTCAGTATTGCACGCATGTTCATTCAATTCATCCATCTCCCCTTCAGCGATACCCCGATGTGATGTCTGTCCATTGGTAGCCATCCCATCATTAGTCTTCCATTGCCTGTCATGCCTCCCAGCAATGCGTCCTGTCCATAGCTCCACTTGCATTAACAAGAAGCAACTGGAATGTACACACACGCATACAGAAAAAAAGTGTCCCGAATTGGCACACCCCTCGGAACATTGGTCAAATTAATTGGATGTGCATGCATATAACTGCGTCTGCAATATTATGAAGGTAAAGACGCGACCCTACAATTGCTTACTCATGCTGCTGCTCCACTTGAGGGAGCTCTACAGAGAGCTCCTCTTGGGGGTATTCTCTGCCCTGCTCTTCCACGCTGGAGACACATCTTAGGAGAGGTGGAGGCACCCACACCATACACTATCTACCACGCACTATCTACCACGCACTATCTACCACACACAATCTGCCAATCGCTTTACTGTGCCGTACCCGTTGACACTCCTGGGCATCTGTGAAAAAGCGCTTTACAGCTCATCAGATTCCTCCTGCAGTATAACACATAGTCGAACACACCTGCTGCGTGGACAGAGGCAGGGAGGACTGAAAGACAGTTTTCCATCGTTTAGAACTGCCACGCCGGGACAGATGGAATCGAACTGGCGGCCTCTGGATCGTGGGTCTGGCGCGCCGCTAACCATGCCAGCGTCCCCGTGTTTTTATTACGGCAGCATTAAACTTGAGTCTCGCTTATCGCGGCAATGACTGATGGCGCTGCGCTGTACGTGACCCTCGCAGCGATAAGACCGCATGATGAAACAATGTAGACCGAGAGCCGGAATCCGGTTTGCCAGTATTCAACTCGTATTTGCGGACACACACGATGTCCCTGAGTGAATACAATCGTATTCGTCGATTAAAAATTGATTCCTAGGATCACCGACGCACGCTGCGAATTGTGTACGAGAGAGTTTATTTTCTTGCACCTCGTGCAAAATACTTTGGACGCCACAATTCATATAATCGCCAAGGAAGTGAATAATTGCATTTTTTTACATGAATAATAACAACATTGTAGTTGTAATAACAGTGGTTGAACAAGTCACTTTTAAAAATGAGAGTCTCTTCGTCTCTAACATCAGTGGCAAATGACATCTGAACCGGTCCCGGGACCCAAATTCAACCATGTCTAGCATGGTAAAGTATGGTCAAACGAGCCCCACGTCTTATATGGCACGGGGAGGTGGCTGTAACATTTTTTTCAAAATAACAATTCAAAAACTGTGGTTTTGTACAAACAACCCATTGGTATCTTTCGATTTAAAGCTTTCGTGACTGCAGGGATTCATCTTCTTGGTTCTTTCGGTAAAGTCACGTAGAATGGAAATAAAATATTAAAAATAAAACATAATAAAATAAAGTTCTCACGACGTTTCGGCCACAACACAAGTAGCCTTCTTCAGGTGAAGAATCAGGACTGTCCAGAAGACAGCGCTTGAGTGAACACTGCTAAGCATGGACAGCGTATTTTAAGCTGTGTGGGAGGAATTAACATATGGATCAGCATGTTAATATGAGGGACACGCTTCGGAACGGAGTAGGGGGGCTGGGTAAAAATAAGAAAATAGCCACGGTGTGCTGCTCTGTCCTGTGTTGCGTTATAACTGTGCTATAAACTGGACTACTATACAATATTATACCTTCCAATCTAAACTACATGGTATAATATCATATCCATAGACAAATTCCACCTTTGAATTATACAATGCGTTACTATACACTACCCTATACTTTAGACTATAAAATATTAGAATTGTAATATTACACTATGTCTTATTCTATCAATCCTACTGTATACCACACTTATAATAAAGGTT